CGTAGGTTCAGATGTCCAGAAAAAAACAGGATACAGAAGGTTAGGTGCTATTGGTAGTTTCAGACATCTGCCAGCGGTCCTGGAATGACTCTTGTGTGGACCAAGTGGGACAAATGTATCCCCACAAAGTCCACGGACAAACTAGACTGACGTGCAGAAGCCTGAGATTGGCTCTGGCTGGTATCCTACAAGTCTCCCAAGCTTGTCTTTGGACAGCTTTTGAAGGGAGAAGCACTAAACCATGCTCAGAAACACACAGGCTACAGGGATGAGGTGACAGGCCCCTGAAGGTGGCCAATGGCACCCAGGCCCGAGCCTTTCTCTCTCCTGTCCTGCTCTGCTCAGGATGCCTCTCTTCTAACAGCACAAACCATTTTGGGCACAGATGACATCTATCACATGTGAGGGATTATGGGCCAAGACCCAGTGCTGTCCTTCCCCTGGCCGGGGTTTTGCCCCGGGTTCCTCCCCAAGCACTGAGCTATTAGATCCGTGAACCGTCTGTCCTCAGGGGAGGCCACATAGCCTGTGATGAAGCCCCACTGGGCCATCCTCAGCTTGGCCAGCTACCTGCTGCATGCATGGGAGTTACACAGTGCTTGGCCTCAGTCTCCTAATCTGTAACTTGGGGATACAGGATGGTTACCACAAAGGGTTGTCCTGAGACTGAAGGCAATTACTGTAGGAAGAATTCTCAGAAAGCACCGCACACAGCAGGTCACAGTAGGCATTCAATAGTCCTGGCTGTTCTTATAGGAATTAGTATCTTTTTGCCACTTGCTCCAGAGCACAAGACATTTCTCTCACCCCAGATCTCTACGCCCGCGGTGACTGGTCCCCCCTGACTTCGACATCCCAGGGATCCCATGATCTGCCTCCCTCTTGGTTTGCTCCCAGAGGCCGCTGCACTGTGTCCTACAGTATCTGGGAAGGGAACACCACTGCGCATCTGTTTGTTGCGCTCTGCGCAACAGTCTGCAGAGGCCGACCTGGCAGGAGATGAGCAGATATAGTCATGAGGGAGTGGCCGGCAGAGGCGATAGAGGAGCTGGGGCGCGTGCACAGTGGCAGAGGGCCTTCCTTGATGGGTACACATCTATGCTTAGAGGAGTGGGCTTGAGTATGCATGTGTTGGTTTGTTTTTTCCCGGATGGGTATGGCAGTCTCTGTGGGGGACTTGCAGAGGGAACTGGGGGACCCGGAACTGTGTCTACTCAGACACACAGTCAGAATCCCAGGCTGAGTTCCGGCTTCTTCTCACTGTGGCTGTGCGGCCGCATGCGAGTCAGCGATCTTTCTGAAGCTCGGTCGGGCGCGGGGATGGGACCCACAGCGGAGACACTAACCGTGCAGCTCGGAGTCGCTGACATTACCAACACTCTCTTCCCGCGCGACTCGAGGGCGCTCAGTGTGGGGAGGACACTGCCCGTCGTTGGAGCCCTGGGCGAGCCCCGGGGCTGCTGATCGGGTCTTCCCCTTCCCGCAGCGGCGTAGGCTGCGAAGACGTCCAGTCGGGGCCACCACAGATGTCTAGCCCTTAGCCATTTGCACCTGAGCCTGCCCCCAAACCCGCCCAGTCACTACCGTGACTCTCTGGACAACCTCGACTCCGCACATTCTGTCAGATTTTTTTATGCATTTGTCCTGTTTCAGAAGCTGAGGGACATGGGCGCGGGCTGGAGTTCTTCCACACAGGCAGCTGTCCCACACCAGCGCCCACTGTCTTTCACACACGCCTTTCTCCAATCATGAGCGTGCCTGCTTCTACGCATGCGCATGCCTGCTTCTACGCACGCGCATGTTTGCTTCTACGCATGCGCATGCATAGAAGAAGGCATGCATAGAGGAAGGCATGCGCATGCGTCTGGCTTCCTGTCCACCTAGAGCACTTCAGATTCCTGGCCCTCATCACTTGCCCAAGCTGTTCTTCTGTTCGCCACTCCAGGAAAAGAATCATCCCAGATGTCAGCTCCCCTGGCCTGATTCTGGCTTCCTGCGCAGTGTTGCCCTTCAGGTGAGCACAGTGACCTACCTTGTCCAGAACACCAGTTTGAGGGTGATGCCACACCCATCGGCTGGACCCTGCTGTCCTTGTGGCCAGTTCACAGTCTCCACCTTTGTGTGAGGACAAGCCACAAAGCCACATGGATCTCCGTTCTGCATTTGAGGTGGTGGCTTCTGTGTGTTTGATTTTTTTTTTTTAACTTCAGTAGAACTTTACACTATCGTTAGTTTAATCTAGACTTGACTCACATATTCTTTAAAATATGAAGCTGGAGAGGTTTCCCTTTACTTAATCATTTGGATCCATGGAGCCTGAGAGCAGAGACTTGTGGCATGCGGCTGGAGGTTGTTGCCGCTATTCCAACATTCTCAAGCACCTCAAGTAGCTCCCTTTTCTACACAGGTTTCGCTGATGGGGACCAAGGGAGTACAAAACACACACAGTAGAATATATAATGAAGGTGGGGATGATTTAGACAACCAATCTTCTGATGCGTCCTGCTCTCTAGCTTTCTTTCCTCTATCCTAAAGGACCTGGAGACACACAGACATTACCAGGGCAGCTGGTAATCAGATGGTAACAGTAAGTTACTGTCCGCATCCAGAACTGAAACACATGGTTGGTGACTGTCTTTGCTTGTATACAACCCTGTCCTCAGAGTTTGTGCATGAGAAGCACTTGATTCCACTCAGACAGCCCTTTCGATCTGGTACCGCAGGGCCCCGCCTGACAGATGGGCAGCTCCTCTCCTCCCCATGCAGTGGTCTCTTTGAAGTCCCCAGAAGTGCCTGCTCAGTGAGATTGGTGGAGGGAAGAAGTGAGACGCAGATGAGGGCAGACTGCCACCCAGCAGCATGAAAAGTGACTGCAGAGCAGGACGTCCTGGCTAACTAATGACTCTGCCAGTGACTACCTCATCTGTCCACAGTGTACATCCCTGCTGTGTTTGCTCACTAGCTGAGCTCATCATTGTGGCCCTGGACAGATCAGGAGTGGGCACTCAGAGGGGACAAATAGCTGCCTTCAGTGTCATACACCCCTCTGGGCACACCTCACCTCTACCTGCCCTTCAGCTGCCAAAATCATCAGCATCTTTCAGCTCTTAATTTCTGTCATTCTCTGTGAAATGGAAAGTCAGTAGGAGATGATGGATGTCTGAGTGAAGTAGAAATTGTTCTTCATATTTCAGAAAATTGAGCCCCAGAGTCATCTGAGCAAAGTGATTCAAAAGATAACTGTACTTTCCCTAGTCCTCCGCTGGTGGGAACGTAGAGCGCTGTGCTTCCTCATGCTGCAGGCTTTGATTTTATATTGTGCTGAACTTAGGAGGGACCAACCACACTGGTGCTCAGAGTGAATCAATTTGGTTTTGAAAGGGCGTCCCCGCAGTAGTGGGGGTGGAGGAGGTAGTATTTGTGGAGTACCTTTGTGGGCCAGGTGTGTGTGTCTGTGAACTTATTTAAACCCCATGTCCCACTTTCCAAGGCTGGGTACAATAAACGCAGGTTACAGTTGAGCAAACCGAGACCCCTGAGGGTGCACTATAGACCCAGAATTCCTGGTCCCCTTGGATGTCCAATGGTGTATATATGGTCAGCCTTCTCTGAGTTCTGTTTTCCAAGATCACATACAGATTAAAACCTTTTTAGGATAGCTCAAATGAGTTATTTCTCAGGGCATACAGTTGTCTTTGTAACTCCTGCCAGGCAGCTCTGTTATGGCCTCAGAGTCTCATCTGAGGCCCAGTGGTGTGTCCCCAGCTGGCCCCTGAATCCACAGCAGGCACCTGCAGGCTGTACCTGGAAGGGCCTGGGACTTTTGTACTGACTCAAGTGAGCTCCCAGCACCTCCTAGGAGGTGCAGACAGGATCTTTCTTTCAACCTGCACATGAGGTAATTAAAGGACTAGCATTTTCCAGCTTTAATTCATTTTTCCATATAATTAAAAATGAAACACTTTCTACTCTGTCTTCCTTCCGGTTCCCTCTGTGACCCTTTGCTTCCATTTTCCTGGAGCCTTTTAGTTTCGTTATGCAAATGTAAGCAAAGAGGAATGAGCCTTTTTCTTTCCTACCTGATTTTTCACAGAAACTGTCAATATAGTTTTCATTTTGTTTTGCAGTGCTGGGGACAGAGCCCCTGAGCCAGCCCCTGAGCCACACCCTGGCCAAACAGTAGTTTTTTAGTGTTAACTCTTACGTGTTCCTAGTGCAGCTGCCGTTTCAGGGCCACTGACCATTTGCGCTCTGTGTGGCTGGTTTAGCTGCTCCCCTGTTCTGTGGGTTGGGCCTGAAACTCATGCAGGTGTCCCCAGGGGAGGTGGGGAACAGGTAGACAGGAGGCCTTTGCACACAAGGAAGCCACCATGTATGTTCTCCTGTCCCCAGCAAAGCCCCCGGGGGCCTGAGTGGTGAGTTGCCATCATTAGGATCAGTGGTGGTTTTGAGGTACACTCTCAGGGGACAGGGACTTCATTCTCCAGGGTGATAGTTTGGTATGAGAGCAGTGATTGGGACTCTGTGTACTTCATGAGGGTCCCAGATCCCCAGAGTCACCCTGAAGCCAAATTACATTTATAAAACAGGTGGATGAGGAGGTAGACATTGGGTGTTCAAAAGAGGAAATTTCAGGAACACTTGAAATGAAGCTCCCTAGTGACAGTAGGTGCCCTTGTGGTGGTAGTAGCCAAGCTGACTTGTACAGGCTCCTCCTCCAGGTCCCTGGCCGCTTGGCCTGCCTCCAGTGGATGTTTGGGTGCACATGGTACCCCATATGGGGGGAGGGGACAGCTGTCCTCACAGCAGCGGCCTCTGGGATCTATAGTGCTTCCTGGATTCCACCTTAAAGCACTATTAGGGCCAGAAGGTGACACAAAGGCCCAGGGTGGCTGATATTTGCTGAGGTGCAACAGCCCAGGCCCCACCTGGTCAGACCTGTCCCTTCCAGATGCCAGGTGGGGTGGCGGGTCCTCCGTGAGGACCAGTCCTCAGTAGACCTTTAAATCAGCAGCGGGATTTTTCAGCTACCTGGAGCAGCCTGCTTTTAGCAACCTTTAATTTGGCTTCTTTTTAGTAGAGACATTGACACAGAAAAGAAAGCAAGTGACTGGTGCTTAATGGGAGGGCACCGTGTTTCTAGATCGGGGAGAGAATGGCAGAGGAAACAACATAGAAAGTGAGTAGGAGTCCACACTCTGTGAGTCATCTAACAGTGGGCCCCATGTTCACTTGGGTCTCCCCAAATTCATGCTCAGAATGTGACCTTATTAGGCAACGGGGTCATTACAGAAGCAATTAGTTAGGATGCGGACATACTAGAGAGGGTCCCTGACCCCCCTCTAGTCCACTCAGGTGGCTGGTGTCCTTACAAGCAGAGGAAATGTAGAGACAAGTGCACCTCAGGGAGAGCGCTGTGTGAAGACGGAGTTAATACAGCCAGGAGCCAAGAGAGAAGCCTGGAGCAGACCCTCCCTTCTGAGGAAGCCCAGTCCCACGGAACCTCTGAGTTCAACTTCCAGCCTTCAGGATTGCAACACAGTAAATGTCTGGGCTTGCGCCACTTCATTTGTGGCCCTTTATATGGCAGCACCTACAAATGAACACAGCGTTAGCACCTTACAGGCATTAAAGGGGGCTGCCAGGAGCAGGCTCACCACTCCCAGGTCCTGCTAGCTTGGACCGGCCACTCAGGAATGTCTGCCGATAAAAGGGACTCCACCATAAGCAAGAAATCCTTTTTTGATTTACATGAGTCAAATGTTCTCATTTCATTTTAACTTTTCCTGAGTTGTAGAAAATGACGTTCAAAATTGGAAGTCGGTCTTTACATTTGCCAAAAAAAAAAAGACCGGCTTCATTCTTATCTATGATGTGTCCCACACGCTGGTGGCCACAAGAGTGTGTCCCCGTGAAGGAAGCTTTGGGGGCTGTCATCCCCAGGCTCAGGGTGCAGGCGGTCGGAACTTTCACCCACATTTCACCCACTTTTCCTGCTCTTTTCCCTTTCTCTGTTGTTCTCAAGCATCACCCCACATGATGACTTAACAGAGAGGGGACTGAGGTTCTCGGGGGCTTCAAAGTCACAGCGTATGGAGGGACTTTTGGTCTCTTTGGTAGTTATAGAACCAGGGTGGCAGGGAGACCAGCAGAAGGTGGCTTTGACAATCAGTTCAGAAAAACAGGAACCATCAGTTCATGAGAACTGGAAGAGAAAAATAGTTTAAAGAACTGAGAAGGTGCCACATTATAGTGAAAGAATGTTGGGTTTTGGAAATGACAAAAACGAGTCATTATCACCTCGAAAACCCCATGGAGTCAGTTACACGAGACGTAACCGCACACAAACACGGGCATTTCTTATAATATCATGGCATTTACAGTCAAGAAGTTTCTTTCAGCGTATTTCATGGAAAGTTATTTTAGTAGCAGGGGTAGCCTTCAGCGATGAGTATTTGTCGAGAGTAAAACTGTATCTTCAAAGGCAGGAGGTGGGGAGGGAGGACTCAGAACTGGAGGCGACCTGGAGGGCAGGTGCCCACTTGCTGAGCTCCTGCTAGGTGTTTCTGGGGCACAGGGGGTGCCAGGGGGGCAGCGGGGGTGGTTTGGGGTGCACCTGCCATCAGGGCCCCCAGATCACCATCATTTGCTACAAGTGCCAGCTTCTAAATGTTTAATTCTTTTGCTGTAAAATTGTGGGCCTTGTTTAAAGCAGAGCCAAAACAATGTAAAAAACAGTTATGTCTGTATGATGGAGATCCAGGCTTGTTACTTTAAGGTAATGTACTATATAAAGAAAATATAAAAGCACCAGGTGAAAGGTGCCCTAAGGGTGGAGGTGCCCTGAGGCTTAGCTGCCCCAGGGCAGGGAAGAGGTTGTGTGGGTGCCCTGTGACTCTCTCTGGTGACTGTCTCCACCACAGTATGGCATTTTAGGAGTTAAGACAGGAAGAAAATAACACGGGTAGCCTCCCGCTGAGGGTGCACCTGATGATTGCCTAAAGAACGTCCCACAACTCCTCCCCTTGAAAATTTACAACAGTACAGTTGAAGTTGTACCCTTTGGCTTTTCTTTCTTGTAGTCCTGCCAGTCATACACAATGGGTCTCTTTACAAAAGGGCTCCGCACTTAAGGCTGCACTTAAAATTTACCCTCCCTGCTGAAGAGTTTTATGGCATAAATCCAATAAAATTGTAGCCATGCGTTAAAAAAATATGAAGTGTAATGTTCAGCTTCTAGAAAGTGATTTTTTAATAACAAATATATTAACTATCAGATTGTTTTGGAGAGAATTGGTTTCAAAGAAGGCCAGTGATTTGAAGATACCACCATGTATTATAGCAGTCATTGATATTTTCCTACTAATCTATCCATAACTCTCTAATGTTTGTATTGTTCCTATCCTATTTCATAAATGGATCCATGTTTATTATTATGTGTTTCCTACAACAACCATTGAGAATTATTGAATGATTATTCAGTAGGTCACTCAAGTATAGTTCTATTTATATTCTTTAGAAGCCACTTTGAAGATACCTAAGTATAGTACAACAACTATTGATAATCTCCTACCTCTTTTGTCTGTAACTCACTATCATTTGTCTATTTGTTTTCCTGAGAAACTATCTTATAGATAACAATACGTAAAACAATAACCATTGATAATTTCCTACCACTTTGTCTGTAATTTGGTAAGCCCCTCCTATTATTATGTTATCCTTCTTTTACTCTTTAAAATAAAAAAAAAAGAAGGCCAGTGAGGTCTATTAATTGTTCTTTTATAAATTATCCACTCATCCTTTTTGTCCACATCTCCCTCCTTCCTTTTATCTCCTTTCCTTCCCTTCATTTTTTTCTGTTCAGTAGAGTTGAACTAGTATCCTGGATTTTACACTTTTAATATTTGTGCTACTTCTCCTCCCTTATCTTTTTTACTTTGTTCACCATGTCTTTTATATTGTAGAAATGTTTAATTTAATTAATTAATTAATTAATTAATTTAATTAATTAATTTGTTTTTTGTCTTTTGGAGACAGGGTGTCGCTATGCAGTTCAGGCTGGCCTTGAGCTCACTTTGTAGCCCAGGCTGGTCTCAAACTCACAACGATCCTCCTGCCTCAGCCTCCCGAGTGCTGGGATGACAGGCATGCACCACCACACTCAGCTCCAGAAATGTTTAATTTTAAAGTAATTATTATTTTCCTTTTGAGCCCTGAAGTTGATGCCTTACTTAGAAAGTCTATCCCTACTGCTCACTTAGGAAAAATAGTCTCTCATTTTTTCTTCTAATGCTCTAAAATTTTATTTTTGAAGTTTAAAATATGAAGTCATAGGGGCTGGGGATTTAGCTCAGCGGCACAGCGTCTGCCCGGCAAGCGCAAGGTCGTGAGTTCAATTCCTGGTATCAGGAAAAAAAAAATATGAAGTCACTTTGGATTTATTTTTGTGATTTGAAGGAAGGAGGTGTAATTTTCCCCTGCACGGGCAACTAATTTTTCTAGACTATTTCTGAAGTAGCCAACTTTTCCGCGATGAGGTTTGCGTGTTGGGAGAGGGATGAGATAGACATGCGACAGAGGAAGGGGGCGGGGCAGGTGGCTGGGGGCAGTTGGACACTGAGTAGAAGGACGAGAGCTCGGGAGACTGTGGCAGAAATGGGTCCGGTGGTGGGCATCCCAGGCGGAGAAAGATGTCCAGAGCGGATGCCCATGAGGCCGGGCAGTGCCCCCTGGGAAAACCTGCAGCCACTGGGAGAGTAAAGTTCAAATACCTGTGTATTGAGAAAATTTGAGCTCCATTGTGCAAGGTAGACTGGCAACTCGAGGTGAAAATGGGTCTGATTTCTGTGGGGCTAAAAATAAACAGAACAGTGAAAATAAGCTCAAGCAGGAATGGACACAACCTACAAGAAGGGCACCCATTTTCCCCAGTGTGGATGGTGAGTCCGATCAAAGGATTCAGGGTGGTGGGTGCCTGTGGGTCCCAGAAGCCAAGCTGGCGGCCGCTAGTCACATCTCCAGGATGCTCCACTTCTGTCTTACCACCTCGAGGCCCTTTGAGCAGCACTACTGAGTCTCCTGCATTCCCATTCTGAGTCAGGGCGGATATGGGCCAGGCTATTCTAGAGAATGCAGTCACAGAAGGACCTGCACCGGGCCCCATGCTCTGCCTTCTCCCCCTTGGAATTCTCAGTAGTGTTTGAGCGAGGAATTGCACACACTCATTCTGCACAGGAGCCCATGGCTTACATAGCCTGGCCTCAACATTAGACCCACGTGGGCCGCAGTCCCTTTCCCGCTCAGCCCAGATGACATCTGCATCCTCCAGTGCCTGCTCCTGGGAGCCCCTGCTTGAAGGCAGAGCTGGCTGTCTTGTGACCTGGTCCTCTTGTGATCTGGCCTCTCTACCACTGCTTTAAATAACAGCAGAACCCCATATATAAAATGTGGCTCAAAAGCAACTTGCAGAAATGAAGAGGCAGGGGTGGAACTGTAGCAAAAGAGTTGCCTCCCCCTGACAGCTGGATGTGGGCTGTGTGCGTCTTGTGTGCTGGGAGGGTGCAGAGGAAAAAGCGGCCAGCAGGAGGCCCAGTGCACCACTAAATCCACAGCTCAGCTCCTCGGCACACAAATACCCTGCTTGGCACCAGCTCCGGGGTTCAGGGCTCCAGGCCACAGGAAGACTGGCTGCAGGGACCTGTCTGTCCCCATGTAGCACGTGGCATGTGGGAGGGGGCTGTTGCACAAGCTTTCTGCTTTATCCATCAATTTCAGGGTTCCCTTGGGATGGAGGAGCTGGTTCTCCATCAGAATATTCTCTGACCATCATGTCGTCTTGTCACTTGGTGGCTGTCCCTGAACGGGGGCATCAGCCTAGCCTCAGTCACCTCTTGGACACCAGGCTCAGGCAGTGAGGCAAATGAGGACCCAAGGGGAAAACCTGCTGCTCTCCTTGTGTTCCTGCCCAGACTCTGCCAAACCCATGGCTCCTGAGTGGTTTGGTTCTCCTGGACTGTGGAACTCGGGCTCTAGCCAGGTGAGCTCACAGAGGCCAGAGCTGGAGAGTTCTGGCTGTTCCGACAGCACGATGCCCCTGAGATGCCCACACAGCTACGTACACCCACCCCCGGAAAGTTTCAGGCCTGCACCTGCTGAGTTTCAGGCTGGTGTGTGTAATGTGGCAACACCTGTAACTACAGGCTCGGAGGATGGAGGGGTGTAGATCCTAAAGGCTATGCTCCAAAGGGATCTACAGTCAGATGTCAAGTTGGAAAATCCAAAAGAAATTTTTTTTTAATCTGTGGGACTTCTCAGATCATTTGACCTTGCATTGTAAATATACAGACGTGCTTTGAAACTACCTAAAATGACACAAAACAACACAAAATGTGCAGCATCTCCTGAACTGAGATGATGGAGATCCCTCCCTTTCTCCTGTTCCCCTTCCTCCCTACCTCCCTACCTCCCTTCTTTGCAGAATGTCGTGAAACCCAAGTTCCAAAGAATGCAGTTAAGGACAAGGCATATGAGTGTTGTAGACCTGTAGAAGGGCTAAATTACTGTGGACGGAAGGATAGGGGACATTTGGTTGAAATTTAAAGCACGGGAAAAGAATTGCACATAGCGGGAACTATGTCAGGAGCAGAGCACGGTTCCTGTGGAACATGTCTAGGGTTCCTCTGCTCAGGCGGGTGGAGCGAGGGTTGTCTACGGAGCCCCCAGTTGCCAGATTCTAGAGCCAGGTGCTCATCTGAAGGCTGTGTGTTTGGTGGGTGCTTAAAGGTTTCTGAGCAGGGCATGGCATGAGGAGTGCACACCTCAGAATAACAACTTGGTGGTACAATCGAAGTGAAGACATAATGGGAGGTTGAGAGCTCTCTGAGAAGTCATTCTCAAGCCAGGTGTGGTCGTGCAGGCCTGTGATCCCAGCCCTCTGAGAGGCTGAGGTAAGAGGATTCAAGTTTGAGCCAAGCCTGAGACTGTCACTGTGAGACCTGTCTCCAAAGAAGGGAGGTTGGGTGTAGCTAAGTGAAAGGTCCTGGGTTTGGTATCTGCTACCTAAAACAAAACAAAACAAAACAAAACAAAATAAGTCGTTCTTGGCGTGGAAGCCTGGCGTGTCCCTGAAGGAGTGTCCTGGACCACAGGAGGCCGAGGGATGGACAATCCAGACAGAGCAGCAAGATGAAGATCAGGCTGAAGTGTGAAACACTGCACTGCCACTTTGAGAGTTTAGAACAGATGGCTGCGCCTGGGCCTCCACCTGTGCAGATGGGTCAGGAGAATTTGACATGTGTGAGGGGTGGGCCAGAGTGGAAGTGGCTTCTCTCACCCAAGCATTAAGCGTCTTACAGAGCGAAGTTATTACTGAGTTGGCAAGTACCCCTAGGGGCTCCCCCTCGGTCCCTTGAGTGTATATTGGCTGAGCAGCCACCAATGACAAGTGGAGACACCTGCCTGTCGCGTGGCACCCTGCCACTCTTTCAGGGAGGCCAGCTCCTCTGCTGGCTGTGTGGGTGCAGATGGTGCGAGTGACCAGAGCCCCTGGCTCCAGCAGCGGCCTTGTTGCTGGGCTGGATGCTTCCTGTTGCTGGTCAGGAGCTGCAATCCCAGTGTTGGGTAATGCACAGTTACTATGCAATATCCCAGTGGACTTTTTTAAAACAAGGAAACGTTCCATTTGGACCCAGTGGAATCCACTGTTCTCTTAGTTACGTATCCTAGGATCTCGTGAAGTACACCTTGAAATTGTTAATAAAGGAGTAAGTAGACAACTCAAACATGTCCTGTGGTTTGGGAGTCACAGTTTTTGTTGCTCATGCATGACACAAAGAACATTCCAGGAACATCACTTCTTAGAGCTTTGTGCTGGGAGAAATGCAGCTTCTCCGGCCGTCTTCCAAAGAAACTCCATCAACTTGTTCTCCGTCTGCCCCCACCTTGCTGCCTTCCCCCACGCACAGGTGTGTCTGTGCTCACACTGACATGCGGACATGCTCTGGGGTGCTCTGCTATGCACGCATTTGGTGCATGAAACAAATCTCTCTTCAGTTGAGGCGTGGAACCAGGTGGATAGGTAAGAGGTGTTAAGTACTTAGAAAGGCAGACACGATAGTCCCCGGACATTGTAAAGAACACTATACGCCAGCTTGCTGTGGGATACACTATTAGAAATAGTTCTGCATAGTGATTAGGAAGTCATGAGATTCCAAACAAAGTGAAAAGTGTCACATCTACACAACTCAGCACCGTGAAGATACGGAGGTGACTCAGATAGCGATCTCAGTGGTGATGACTTGGTGACCTTGGAAAGGTAAGATCTGAGCAGCAGGCTGAAAGGGGAGGGAATAGCCCTGCACGGGTCGAGAGTGCTGTGACCTGGAGTTTAACTGGGATGGTGACTTGCCCCAGACTTGCGGTGCTCACAAAAGAGGTGGTGTTTGGGCAAGACCTGGAGAGGGAGGTAGAATTACGTGGGCAGAGGGGAGGTGTCAGCATGTGCAGAAGTACAGAGGTAAGGGCCACGGCTGTGCACATGAGATGCAACGTCAGCTATCATTTGGCTACATAGAAGCACACAGTTCCACGGGAAATGACTGTCGTGATCAAGCCTGCTGTGACACAAGCATGCAAGTAAATACGACGGCACCTTCAGGATGAAACATTCTTCTGACGAGGCTGACCTTGCTCAAGACAGGGCTGAAATTCCTTTTGGGTGGCCAACCCGAGAGGTTGTTCAGGAGCCATGTGAAAACCTTTACAGTTTGGGCCATGGTCTGGTCTGGTCTCCCACCTGGCTCATGTCACCTGATCATTTCTGTCACTCTATCCAGTATCAACAGAGCGCACTGGGGGCCTGAAAAGCTCTCCCCAAAGAACTTGCAAAGCAAGCACGAAGCTACATGAGGTGACTTCTACAGCACGGTTTGTTTGAATTATCCAGAGTCCTTCATTAACACTTTCAGGGTGCAAATTTATGAGGTTCCAGACAGGCAGTTCAGTGAGTAGTAGATTCTGGTTCCAAATAGCAAGAAATTTCCTGGATTTTTTTTTCATTTTTTAAAATTTTTTTATTTATTTTTTTGTCTTTTTGAGACAGAGTCTTACTATGAGTTCAGGCTGGCCTTGAGCTCACTTTGTAGCCCAGGCTGGTCTCAAACTCTCAACGATCCTCCTGCCTCAGCCTCCTGAGTGCTGGGATTACAGGCATGCACTACCATACCTGGCTAAAATTTCCTGTTTTGAAGAACCAGGTCCATTTGGAATATTCTGTCCTAACTATATACTACTGCATTCATAACCCCACAGTACCTGTCTGGCGTCTTTCTTGCTGTGTCGCTGGGCACTTTCTTCCCCATCATAGGCGGTCACAGTGCTGCATGTGCGTTCAGTGCTTCTCTCCTCGACTGCTTCTGGTTACCTCTGTCTCTGTGTGCATCTGTGCTGTGGTGGGAGACTTGGCTCTCAACAGTTCTTCATCATTAGGAATCATTTCATACCTTGTCAATTATTCTGGGCCCAAACTTCCTTGGATTGCTTCCCACCTAATAAGCCCCACTATGGGGCAGATCACTGTCCCCTGAACCTTCTCAGCTGCTCCTGTCCTCCTAACACTGCAGGTCTTAGAATTAAATACGTTTTAGGTGAAAATTGCCCAACTCAATGTAGAAAGAGGCCACTGCCTCCCTTTCACCGTACAGATCCCTATTAGTGCCCATCAGAGTGCTTTGCTTAGCTGATGGTCACGTGACATTTCTGTTGCCAATGGGATTTTGTAAGATATTTTCCCACTTTAAATTTTGTTTCAAAAGACAAATCACCTATGTTTGAAACCTATGTAGTAATGGTTGATTTTCTTTTTTTTTTTTTCACCCACCGATGTACATAACCTAATACTGTTGTTTTTTTTTTTAAACAATTATTTGGAATTTTTAAGCCATTACCCTATTTGTAAGCATCCTGTTTGTGAGCTCACCATTTTACCTTCCTGCTTGGTGGGGTCATCAGTAGGTCTCACAAACACACCGTCTGTGTTGGCATCAAGACATTGAACAAGTGGCGGACAGGACAACGGAAGGTGGAATGTGGAGCATGGTTAAAGAGAACATGACTCCAGGCAGAATTTGGGGTCGGTCAGCCAATTGTGCAGTCACTAATCCTGTTGCTGAACACAGTTCTCTGACTGGCTGCTAGGACTTCTTTTAGGCAGCCTTGCTGAAATCCGGATAGGCGGCTTACTGTATTTCCTTGACCTACCCATCTGGAGGCCCTGCCACAAGAAGACGAGTTGAGCTGGCTCCTAGGACTCACCACATCCCTTCCTAGGGCTTCCAAAGCATTCTTCTTGCCAATCCACTTTGGAATGTCAGGGGCCAGCATATGAGTCTGGGACTATTGAGTGACCTTGCCCTTTTGTCTATCAGAATTGCCTGTGTCACATGGCGCCTGAGGGGCTCGCTGTGGTGGTTCGGCAGCTCCTGGGCTACAGGTCCCTGGGGCAGAGACACCGGGCACCCTTTGGTGTCTTTACAATCTCCACCCTCACTCTGCCTGTAGTGCCTCACATGTCATCGAGGTCCTTGTGATGGTTAATTGTCTGTCCTGACTTTGCTAGGCCACAGCCCCCAAGTAGTTGATACAGCATTGTTCTAGATGAAGCTGTAAAGGTATTTGTAAGATGAGATTAACATTGAAATCAGAAGACCTTGAGTAAAGTGAGGAATTGCCTGTGGACTGTGAGTGGGCCTTATTTAGTTAGTGGAAGGCCTTCATAAAAAAAAAAAAAGACTGGTCTTCTTGAAAGAGCGACTTGCCCCAGGAGACCCGGCTGCAGCATCAGCTCTCCCCTGGGCTTGTAGCCTGCCAGCCTACTTTGCACATTGCCAACTTGCCAGCCCTACAGTTGTGAGCCAGTTCCTTAACTCTGTCACGCACATGCATATGTACACACGCATGCGCACACGCACACACCAACACCCTATTGATCGTATTGCTTCTGTCTAGAGATCCCTAATACTTGTAGTACTGACAGAAAAGATAAATAGGAGCAGTGTTTTCTCTCCTTACCACACTTTTCAGTTTCTCCTTTTGCCATATGGATGTGAGCCTCCCTGGAGCCCCTCCCCGCTGGGGCTCTGTTGAACTCCACTTAAAAGTATCAATATTGAGCGGCCACAGTGGGGCAGGCTTCGGCTCCAGTGGGCAGATAGGTAGGTACCTTCTCCCCTATGTACTGTCTTTCCGGATTGTGCTCGTACTCTTCCTGTTAGAATTGTAACACCTGTCTTCTGACCTCTCCCTTCCATCCACATGCCCTGACTTACACACTTCCTAATTTCTGATATTTAAAGTCATGGATCCGACAACACAGTAGGTCTAAGGTAGATAGAAACCACATTTATTTACATGGTTGTATCTGTATACATATAAGTATATGTGTATGCATGTATATAAACACATTCAAATTCCTGGAGATTCATTTGGCAGCACTGGTTTGGAATATTCGAGTTTACTAAAATTATGAATTTGGGGCGGGTAGTGAAATTGCCTTATCAGCCCGTAGTGACTATAATTAGAAAGTGGTGCTGAATCAGAGGGGCTATGTAAAAGTGCTTAGCACTTGACCCTGGTTGGATTTAGGGCCCCCTGGTACACGCTGAGAAGTAAGGGAAATTTCCTGCAGCCACATGTGGTCACGCATGTGTGTAATCCCAGCATACTGGGAGGCTGGGGCAGGAGAGTCACATATTCAAGCCCAGGCTGGAAAACTTAGTGACTCAGCGAGACCATTTCTCAAAATAAAGAAATCTTTAAAAAGGGCTGAGGATGTAGCTCAGTGTGAAGGCCCTGGATCCAAATCCCGGTGCACCACACAGAAAGAAAGAAAAAACAGAAAAGACTTTCTGCTGATTCACCCCCACATGTCCTTGTCCCTCGTCCTGTTTCTGGGTTCTGCTCCCCAGGCCTGTTTGCTTTGCCCCCACTTTCCTCTCTCCCTCTCTGTAGGACCCTCAGCGGTCACCCTCAAAGTCTTCAGGGATCACCTTCTTTGAAGGAATGAGCATCAGGACTTTATAAAGTTTAATTGAATCTGTAATATCTTAAATGATTCTTTCTTTCTGGAAATAATTGATGTTAGCCTCTGAATTATCTTTCCTATGGTAAGAATGGAGGTCTGTCTATTTAGTATGCCCTCATCTTTCTCTGTGGATCGACAGCAGTAGTGTCCAAAAGAATCCATCATTTCCCAACTGTCCCTGAGTTCTTTAGTGTTTCTGACCCATGTCCTGATGATCATGACCAAGTGGGTTAATGTATGTCCACCAAAAGGTGTTTCCCACCTGGAGGCCAGGTGGTTTGTTGGCCAGGTGTGATGTGGACTCCAGACATTTACAGGTGATAGGTTCCATGGAAGGTGCTTCGAATCCTGGGGAAAGCCTCCCTTGGGAAGGAGGAACATCTGAGTCTGAGAAACTGCCAGCCCCATGACTCTGAGCACAGTGCACATGTCACATGAGTTTATGGGAAAACCCGCTGACGTTCCCATTGGGAACACAGGGGACTTTTCTCCCTTTCCCACACTGGCCCTCAGCAATAGAAGGGCCATCTCAGAGTTCCCCAGGAGACAGGAAGGGCTGGGGAAGCCCCTGCAGCCTGGGAAGGTGACATGTACCTGAAGATTTCTGCCCAGGGTCAGAGCAACATGGGACTCTCGAGAGCCCTGAACTGGGAAGCATTTTTTTTTTTTTCAGGTAGTAGCTATTTTTACTGCGAGGGCTGTTGGAGAACATAGTTTTGAGGTATGAAATGTGATTCCCCAGTCACACACCCTACAACTCCCCAGATGTGTCCCCGCAGACCAGGAAGTGCTGGGCAGCCACGAACCCACTCTGGAAAACTGTTTCTGAGTAAACAGGGCTCAAGACTTGGGCAGAATGTGTGTATCTGGCAAGGTCAGTATCTTGTAGCCTTTCCACTGAGCAAGTTACGAGGCTCTCCAAGGCCTGGTTTCATCATCTATAAATGAAATCAAACCTACATCCCCGTTCAGTACCAAATGCAGCCATGGTGCTCGGACCAGCGCTGGCAGGTCATCGGCGGAAGCCCAGGTGCACTTTATCCATTCAGGTGACCTTCTAGCCTTGTAATCCGGATCTTGCACAGGAGTGGAAACAGCTCTGAGTTTGCTGAATCCCAGACAACGAAGTATGGGCTTGGTCTGACTTACTCTGAGTTGTGCTTACGGTGAAGGCTGGAGGCCATCCCACATAATGCAAGGCAGTTTTGAGTGACAGGTCACTAAAGGATTAGTTGGCATCGCTACTCAGGGCCTTCCGAGAAGGGTCAGGGTCACTGTAGTTTTGTCTTATAGAAAAGTTTCCTGCTTGCAATCTAGTTGACAACTATTTTAACGGGTTTTCATCAACGAACTAGATTTTCTTTGCACCTGGGGAAATTTAGGGATTCCCTTCATTGCAGCTGTGAGCTTTACACGAACCTTGAAAATGAAACTGAGCAGAAGTGGGGACCAAGGAAGCACATCTTGGAGGGAAATGGAAATTACTGTCCTGAAAAGGGCTGCTCCCACGTACGTGCTGGTGGAAACCCTTGACATCCTCTAGAAAGAAATGCAGAATCATAAAGGCTAATGATTACAGGTTAATAGAATTATTATAGAATTATTTGGGCCTAAAATTCATATTATAAAATCCCTAAATAAGTTATCTATCATGACAGTTGAGAAAGGCATGCCTGTGAGCTCCATCCCTCAGAATGTTACATACTCTGTTTCTGGGTTGAGAATTTCTCGTCTGAGTGGCTGTTGTCCCAGATCACTTGAGTGAACTGCAAATGAACCACACGCAACGCAGATACAGTGACTGCATGCCCCAGTCCCTGGGATGTGCCTTGAATGTGAACCAGACCTGTGTTTTCTTAAACCCACGGGACGGAGATTCTGGATGTGGTAGGACCGATCTCCAGGGCCCGAGGCTGGCTGTCCCCCGTCTCAGGCCCGCTCCAGTGAGTTGAGTGAGTCGGGACACCCAGGTTACCTCCCTCCTCTCATCTGTCTCCTGGCACGTGCTTCAACGCTCCATTTATGCCAGAAGTTTGGTGTTCGCCTCGGGGCTTTGCTCTTGACATTTCTACTAATTCTCTGCTTTATATTCAAGATTGCCCTTCTGAAAGGAGATTCCCATTTCAAAATTGCATCTTTTGTGCTTTCAAGTAGGCTCGATGCATGCACCTTGTTGGCCTGGTGTGTACATTAACTTTGGAAAGAGGGATGAACATGGAAGATGGTGGGGGCTGGAGTGGGCAAGGAGAATGATTTGCATGACCATGTTTGCTGCCGGCTGCAACTGAAACCCAGCTTGTGTGGGCGGGGCCCTGTTTCCTAACGTCAGCACCCCTGCCCACGGAGGTCCCCACCAACGCACCGGTGCCCACAGAGGTAGGGGCATCGCAAGGCCCAGGGGCAGCGGGCACCAAGCGTGAAAGCAGGCGGAGCGCCTGGAGCTCAGCCTGGCTGCTGGCTGCACGCCCACAGCCTGTGCAGACACGGCACACTGGCCTTTCTGTCTGATGCCAGCCTCCTGCTGGGGTCTCTCCCTGCGCCACGGCGAGTCTGGAACAGTGGGGTCAGGTCATTTCTGGAGAGCTGCTTTTGTTCTCTCCTTTGGCAGTCATTTTCTGAATCAGCTAGAGTGTCCCTGAGCTTGATACTTGAGGGCCTGTGGAGGGCACGGCCTGCTGCCCGCTTGAGGTCACTGCCCTCAGGCAGCCTGAAGACCTGCATGGAACAATGCCTCTTCCCCTCCTTGGGCTGCACCCCAAGTACAGCAAGGCATTTTCAGTTAATAGTAACTTTGAAATTAGCTGATCTTGTAACTTCTGTTGTGATTATCCCGCTAATGTCTCTGAGTGGCAGGATGATATTTGTTTTTTAAGTAATACCAGAATATTTTTGATACAGGACTGATTTGTTCTGAGGACCAACTTTCCTACTGTCAGGTATCTACTCCTGCCAAGATTTTGAGCGTGGAAGCCTTTTGTGGCTGTGTTTCCTTCTGCTCTGCCTTCAGCGTGCTATTGGCCATGGCCTAGTGAGTGGACAGGGGGACACGTTCTCCACCAGGTGTACTTCCCATCCCAGGGTCCTGTATTCATCTGACATTCTTGGAGCCTTGAAGTCCACCTGCCCGTCAGCCACTGTAAAGATTGAACCATGAGGCTGAGGCAGGGTGATCACAGGTTGGAGACCAGCCTAGGCTACATAGCAAATTCAAAGCCAGCCTG